GGGGGGGGCTGTGCCTAAGGCTCTCGCTCCCTGCCATGTTTTCACTTGTGCTGTTTCTCAGCTCTTTCTCCTGCCCTGCCCATCGGTGGCAGATCCCAAGCTGCTCCCCTCTCCTTCCCACCTCTGACCTGTGTGTTCTCAAATATCTCAAGGGTGGGTGTCACGAGGATGGAGCCAGACTCTTCTCAGTGGTGCCCAGCACCAGGACAAGGGGCAATGGGCACAAACTGAAGCACAAGAGGTTCCAGTTGAACGGGAGGAAGAACTTCTTGACTTGGAGGGTGCCCGAGCCCTGGCCCAGGCTGCCCAGGGGGGCTGTGGAGTCTCCTTCTCTGGAGATATTCAACCCCCACCTGGACGCTGTCCTGTGCCCCCTGCTCTGGGTGAGCCTGCTTGGCAGGGGGGGGGGTTGGACTGGGTGAGCTCCTGAGGTCTCTTCCAACCCCTGCCATTCTGGGATTCTCGAGGTCTTGCCCCTCGTGGCAGCAGGTTTGGGGTTCAGCCTCCTCCACCCAGTACCCACTGCAGCCAAGTGCTCCAACCTGCCCTTGCCAGAGCCGGAGCCCAGCAGGGCCCTGGGCAGGGTGTGGGGGGCACGATGAAGATGGGGGTCAGCTCTGCAGAAGGCTGTTTTAAACCACTGGGCATCGCTTTTGCACAAGGCCAATCCCCGACAGTTGCTGCCGAAGCGCTGCCTGCAGACACCTGAAGGGAGGTCAGGAACACGGAGGGACATCAGCAGCCCACCCTGCGAGGAGGTGCCATCACCAGCCAAGCGCACCCCCACGCCCCAGGCATGCTGTCCCTGCGCCAGTCCCCACAGATCCACCATCCCCCATTTCCAGCTACCAGCAGCTTTTATTTTGCACCAAAACAAACACCAGATGCAACAACAGTCCCGGTTCTTGCTTGGGCAGGTTCCTGTGCCCATGTGGTGGGGGCAGACACCTTGTCCCTGTACCCCTTGCCGAGCAGCCAAGGCAAGGGCAGAGGGGTCTGATCCCAACCCCCAGCTGATGCACAACCACTGTCATGAGCTGGACAGTGCTCAGCACACCAGGATCACCCTTGCAGAGCCTGTGGTGGGCGAGCAGCCGAGTGCTGACAGGGGGTGAAGATGTGGGCAGCTCATGGAGGAGGCTGGCTTCGTTCAACCTCCTGCCAGGTGGGTCCCATACAGGGACACAGCCAAGAGAGGAGCACAGGGATGGTGCCCAGGTGAGGGGCAGGACTGAGCCCCCTGGCCCTGGGGGAGACAGGGAAGGCAGAGCTGGCAGCCCTTTGCTCCAGCAGCACAGGATGCTATGAGGGAACTCATGGTGGGAGTGGGGGGCTAACGGGCAACTGGGAGGCCATGGCTGTGGAAAAGCAGAGCCAGCCACGGGCTGAGCACATCGCAGGGGGTGCAGGCACCCAGCGCCTGCCAGCAAAAGCCCGCTGGTCCCAAGCCCACGTGGCTCACGGCTGTCACGGCCCCTTGCTGCTTTGCACCATCTGAGCCAGAGCACAGCAGCACCCACCCCTCCTGGAAAAGGGTCCCTGTGTTCAGAGACAGCCCCAAGCCCAGGATCAACACTGACCCAAGAAAGGTGCTGGTTTGGGGGTGGGAGCCCAAGTGGCACCAAGGCGGGAGGGCAAGAAGGGACGGAGGGAGCAGCGAAGGCGATGGGCACAGTGCGTGCATGGGGCAGCTAAAGCAACTGGGCAGCTTTGGGGGCTCCTGAGCAGATGGGGGGACCTGTTTCCCTCCTTTGGGGACAGCACAGAGGGAGCAAACCAGGTGCCAGGCCAAGCAGCAGCAGTGCCAGCAAAGCACGGACCTGCTGGGCACCGGGGCCGAGCCGGGGCTCAGTGTTAAGGCGATGGTAAGGCTTCCTCACGTAGGCAGGGGCCTCTCTGAGGCCGTGGTCCTCTCTAGCATCTCACGGTCCAGTCTCAGGTATGTCCAGGGTCTCCTTTAATCGGTGGCTGGGTCAGAGCTCTTCTCCTCCCCCTTCCCACCATCAGGACCTGCCCTCGCCCCCAGCTGGGGTGGGGAAGGGGCGAGGGGGATGCGAGGGCTGTGGATGCAGCAAAGACAAAATAGTTCGGGATCGCACAGACCGGAGATGCTATTTAGAGATCTGCAGGGCTGTGACCACCGGCTTCATCTTGAAGTACTGTTTAAACCTTAGCTTTGCATATCTGCCAAGAGAGGAGAAGAGGGACAGACGTGAGACACTCGTCCCCCCAGCCCCGTGTCCCCTGGCCACAGAGGATCCCCCCCAGCACAGAGGGACCACTGGGATCCTCTCGCTCCGGTCATTTAACACTGAACTGTGCTGGTGAGCAAACTCACCTTAAGAAGTTAAAGTCTATGGTAGAGTATTTATCCTGGATCAGGCCCCAGCATGCCCAGAGGAAATGGGATGCCTGCAGCAGACAAAACAAGGATCAGAAATGGGCTGAGAGCATCCCTGCCCGTGGGACAAGCCGCTTGCGCCTCTCCTGGCCGGGTTCCAAAGCCCCGTGGCTCGGA